ACAAACACGCGCTTCATTGAGAGGTAGTCTACCGTTACCCTTGCCTTTGTCACTCGCGGATTATTCAGTGCTCGCTTGGTCTATAAAATGCACTTTCCACCGTGGCCCGGTGAGTACTTCCACCGCCGCCTACACTATCTGCGTTCCGGCTTCGCGCCCGTCAAGCCGGCGCCTGACAGCGTCCGATCGACTGTCGCGGCGACGGCGGCGGCGGCGGCGGCAGCGGCGGGTCCCGTCAGCAAGCTCGGGTCATCTCAGCAAGTTGCTATCGCCTGGCTATCGGACCGGTGCCGACACCTCACCCGCCGCCCGAGCGAGACGCGGGCCGGCCGCCGCGTCCCCGACGGTCGGCCGCGCCGCCCACTCCGCCGAGCCGCTGTCGGGACTGGCGAAACTGGCAGAGCTGACGAGGGCGGGGCGCGCTGGAGCGAGAGATGTGCTGATCACAGAGTAGCGCGATAGGTACAAAGTAGCAGCTTGTTACGTTAGGTACCTAGTAGCACATGGCGCTAGCTCGACATCGTGTTTGGTATATGATAAGTATATTGCACAACGCTTTCATTACGAAGCACTGGAATTCGTGTGATCGACTTAATTGGCTTCGTTCGCCAATGAAGTGCCCTTTGACTCCAAATCCTGCTGATGGCAGGGTTGTCATAGGCAGAGCTGGCTGGTGCCTGACGACTCGTGTGCACGGTCAGCTTCTATTCCTCACTCTGGTGGCTCGCTTTGTCCTCAGTTGGGGAGCCCAACTGAGGAAAAAGCTGCTGACTTGCTGTTTTGTTTTGTCCTCAGATAAGCTCCCACTGACAGTCCGCTCTACTCGCAGATGGTCTCCCAATGACACCTTACTCCGTCCTCATATGAGCTCCCTCTGACGGTCCGCCCTGTGCTCAGATGTGCTCCCTCTGTTGGCGGTATGCTTTGTCCATAGATGAGCTGCCTGCTGACGGTCTGTTTTGTCCTCAAATGAGCTCCCTCCGTTGACGCTCCGCTCTGTCCACAAATGAGCTCGTCTCACTGACAGTCTGCTTTGTCCTCAGATGAGTTTTTCCTCGGGGACAGCTGCGGACCCGTTGACAGTTCGCTTTGTCCTCACATGAGTTTCTTCTTGGAGACAGCAGCGGACCCGTTGATGGTTTGCTTGGTCCTCAGATGAGCTTTTCCTCGGGGACAGCTGCCGACCCGTTGACGGTCCGCTTTGTCCTCAGATAAGCTTCCACTGACAGTCCGTTCTGTGCTCAAGATGAGCTCCCACTGACCGATCGGATGAGCTCCCCCGCTGAATGTCTCGTCCGTTCTCAGATGAGCTCTTCCCTGCTGACGTTTCGGATGAGCTCCCCCGCTGACCATCTCGTCTGTTCTCAGATGAGCTCCCCCGCTGACCATCTCGTCTGTTCTCAGATGAGCTCCCCCGCTGACCATCTCGTCTGTTCTCAGATGAGCTCCCCCGCTGACCATCTCGTCTGTTCTCAGATGAGCTCCCCCGCTGACCATCTCGTCTGTTCTCAGATGAGCTCCCTCGCTGACTGTCCCGTCTGTTCTCAGTGCAGACGTACACGGGTGAGACGCTGCATCTGAGCCGGGTGACGAGGGCGGAGATGGGCGTCTACCTCTGCATCGCCAACAACGGCATGTGAGCAACCGGACCAATGCCGTGTACTGTGGCTGCCGATGTTGAATTCGTCGGGCCGTTGCTGTTGTCTCATCAGCTGGCGTCAGTTTGTTATCTAGTCTTGTTATCATCGGTTCGCTTAAAACCACTCCAATGGGGCCTCGCAGGCCAATGTTCTAATATGGAGCAGGGGGATATTACCATATTGAGTTGTGCATATAAGTAACATATGAACCATTATCTCCGCTTCCAGTTTTTATGCATCAGGGAGGGACGAGAAACGTGCTTAGGATTTTTCACAGCTGCCATGCACTGAGCAAACGATGAGGTTATTTTTGCACTCGCGTGTAAGGGCCGCGACTGACGTTGCGGCAAGATGGCCGTCAGGAGCCGCAATTAACAGTGTGGCATGATGGCCGTCAGGAGCCGCAACTAACAGTGTGGCAAGATGGCCGTCAGGAGCCGCAACTAACAGTGTGGCATGATGGCCGTCAGGAGCCGCAACTAACAGTGTGGCATGATGCCCGCCAGAATTGCATGCTGCAATGGTAAAGTGGGGCAACTCGCAATAGAAATGAAATTGGTACCAAGCAGATGTACACGCATGCAGGTGAAACGGCATGCCACTTTTGTTTCACGGGGGCATTCCCGATATAAAGGCTTACTTTTGAGACCGTCCTTTTCCGTTCTCCTATCTTGTTCAACCCCGTTTTGCCGTGTTTCATGACTCTGTTTCTGCTCATTTCTAAAGTAATGGTCGGTACGCTATCTGGCAGGACAGCAGCCAGCGTTGTTGATGCGATCTATCCGGGAGTTATACAGCGACATGCTTTGAGATCATGTTTTGCCATTTGCTCCGGTGCGATTGCACATTCTGACGTCTCCTGTCGTGTGATCTTAAGTTTGATTTTCAGATTAATGGTTTTCGGTTCGATAGCCAAAGTCATGCAGTTTGCGAATATGTATTGCCTTTCTCTGTATACCGTTTTCAGCGATGAATGCCGAGACGCTCTTTCGTTCTACTTTTGTCCAACATTTTAAAGCATAAAATTTGATACTGAAGGTCAACTGCTACCACGATGAGAACTTAGATCACGTAACACATAGTGTTACGGACTACCTGTTGGCGCTTGCTTTTGCTTTGGGTCCGAATACTAGTGGGCATATGTTTTAGACGCGCTTCGTCAACTGGCCTCGTATTTTGACCTCGAAGCAGCAATGATTTGAGACAAAATCTTTCTAGCCTCGAGGTTTATCACTGGCCATACTTTCATACCGGTCATTTCGTGAAATCGCGTTTGAATGTTTTGACTTTCCTGTATTTTAGCCTTGAGTGTTGAAGCTTGTTGGCCAGAAGTTCTGGCGCATCCTAAGGGTTGACCAGGTCTACCCCCTCGAGCTAGGTTTTGCCATGTTTCACCAGAATTTGCGATGGTATGGGAATTCCCGTCCTCTGACCTTCAGTTCGATCCGATGACATTTGTTGTCTCAAAACGGACCTCCAATTTGCAATTTAGTCAGTAAGGACTGCCTCGAAGCAAAATGCGAGCGAAATCGGATGTCGGTTTTGTTATGATATATGACAAACACGATATGACATCAACTTGAAGTTCATGAAAAATACAGGTTGTTCGACTGTTGACCGACTGTTTGTTTGACAGTCAGACAAGTATATTTTGTACTAGTTTTGACCCATTAGTCAGAATCTGGCTGCGGCACTGTCTCCTAGCACCAATTTTCACGTGTGCTCACGTTTTCAGTCCGCCGCTGGTCAGCAAGAGGACCCTGGTCTCCGTACACTGTGAGTGGAAACCGGCCCGCTGTCCCCTGTCAAATCTGCCAGCTGCGTGTGTCCGCGCGCGCACCTTTTACCACCGCCGTACTCTTCGAGCTGTCGCTTGCGTTGTTTGTCGTGGTGAATCAATCGGTGAAGATCTAAAGGTCATTGGCTTAGACGCTGTTCAACATTCAATGTTATTATTCAATTTTAGTCGTACTCAAGCAGTTGCCACCAGCAGACCGGCCATCGCCTGGGTCTTCGGCGCGTCTTCTCCAGTTAGCAGCTGACGCGAAGAGCCCTGTCCCCGGACATGTGACGTGGCTCTGGTGTCGACACGACCGCTGTCGGCCCTAGCGCGAGCAGCCGAGCTTCCAGGGGTGGGGGGCTGATACTCCGCGCCGGCGCGGAGGGTACGCCGGCAGGACACCCTCGGTGATGGGAGAGGATGATTCCCTCACTGTATTCGACCACGTCGGATGTGGTCGTGTTTGCTGCGAACGAGGAAGATGGACGGGCGCGGCGGGTGGACGGCTAAATATCTGCACGTGGGGCTAGTGGGAGTTGTGATGCATTAGTCGTTGCGAACATAAGGTGTTGTTATAATCCCCCGTATCCGAGTACCGGACACATGGGAGTAGTGTCCGAGGACCGGGCACACATGGGACTAGTGTCCGAGGACTGGGCACACATGTTACTGGTAGTGTCCGAGGACAGGGCACATGGGACTAGTGTCCGAGGACCGGGCACACATGAGACTAGTGTCCGAGAGCCGGGCATACATGTTACTGGTAGTGTCCGAGGACCGGGCACATGGGACTAGTGTTCGAGGACCGGGCACACATGAGACTAGTGTCCGAGAGCCGGGTACACATGTTACTGGTAGTGTCCGAGGACCGGGCACATGGGACTAGTGTTCGAGGACCGGGCACACATGAGACTAGTGTCCGAGAGCCGGGTACACATGAGACTAGTGTGCGAGGACCGGGTACACATGAGACTAGTGTCCGAGAACTGGGCACACATGAGACTAGTGTCCGAGGACAAAACTAGTGTGCGAGGACCGGGTACACATGAGACTAGTGTCCGAGAACTGGGCACACATGAGACTAGTGTCCGAGGACAAGACACACATGGGACTGGTGTCCGAGGACCGAGCACATATGGGACTAGTGTCCGAGGACAGAGCACACCGCTCCCAACGACAGCTGGAGGCGCCGCCGGGCCGGGTTGAGTCCCTCGCAGTCCGCCTCTGACGGGACGCTCGTCCCCAGTCCCTCGCAGTCCGCCTCTGACAGGGAGCTGGTCCCCAGTCCCTCGCAGTCCGCCTCTGACAGGGCGTTCGTCCCCAGTCCCTCGCAGTCCGCCTCTGACGGGGCGTTCGTCCCCAGTCCCTCGCAGTCCGCCTCTGACAGGGAGCTGGTCCCCAGTCCCTCGCAGTCCGCCTCTGACAGGGAGCTGGTCCCCAGTCCCTCGCAGTCCGCCTTTGACAGGGAGCTGGTCCCCAGTCCCTCGCAGCCCGCCTCTGACAGGACGCTCGTCCCCAGTCCCTCGCAGCCCGCCTCTGACGGGGCGCTCGTCCCCAGTCCCTCGCAGTCCGCCTCTGACAGGACGCTCGTCCCCAGTCCCTCGCAGTCCGCCTCTGACAGGGAGCTGGTCCCCAGTCCCTCGCAGCCCGCCTCTGACAGGGAGCTGGTCCCCAGTCCCTCGCAGCCCGCCTCTGACAGGGAGCTGGTCCCCAGCCCCTCGCAGTCCGCCTCTGACGGGGCGCTCGTCCCCAGTCCCTCGCAGCCCGCCTCTGACAGGGAGCTGGTCCCCAGTCCCTCGCAGTCCGCCTCTGACAGGGCGTTCGTCCCCAGTCCCTCGCAGTCCGCCTCTGACAGGACGCTCGTCCCCAGTCCCTCGCAGTCCGCCTCTGACAGGGAGCTGGTCCCCAGTCCCTCGCAGCCCGCCCCTGACAGGGAGCTGGTCCCCAGTCCCTCGCAGCCCGCCTCTGACAGGGAGCTGGTCCCCAGTCCCTCGCAGTCCGCCTCTGACGGGACGCTCGTCCCCAGTCCCTCCGTCAGTACAGGTGACCAATGGTCTGGTCGGGACGCCGCTGGGCAGCGAGATCTCCATAACCTGCCGCATAGAGGCTTCTCCGCGGCCCGTATACTACTGGGCCACGGGTGACGGTGAGTGCCCCCTGTAAAAAAACGTCAGTGCGTGAATAACTGCGCCTACAACGCTACAGGCACCGTTGGCGGCCGCCCAGAGAACACCAGTTGACTTTCGTTTTATGATAAAAAAAGAACAAAAGTGCGTAGTGCGTAATATGTAACATGCGGAGTACATAAGGATTTCACTATATACACAGTTTCGGTATCATACAAACTGAGAGTCGTGTGAATACGTCATATGTGTAGCATATACCGTTTGAGGAGTCTCATCGTGCCGTTTGTAGCGTGTCGTTTGTGTCGCCTCACCGTGCCGTCTGTGGCACCTTTATCCGACAGGAGGGATACTGCTGACGGGCGCGAGGTACCGTGTGCGGGAGGACCGCCAGCCGCCCTACAGTTACCGTGTGACGCTGGAGATCAGCGGCGTCAACAATGACGACTTTCGGCCGTACGCGTGCGTGGCCAAGAACGCTGTGGGCGAGGCAGAGGACACGGTGCAGCTACACCGTACGTCCACACGCCGCCGCCAAGCGGCAGCGTTTGTGGCATGTTCGTGCTGCAGCTCTGCAGCATTTTCTTCTCATGAACCCGTCGTGCTGGTGTCTCCGCAACGCGGAGGTTTGGGGCGAAAGCGCCCATGGGCAGTGTAGGCCAGCAGAGGACGTCGAGGCCCGCGCCCGTGTCGGTCCGCTCGCTGGTCCAGCCGGACCCTGGAGCCGTGATGCCGGCGTGCTCCGGCCGCCGCAGGGTCCGCCTGACCTGTGGCCGGCCTGCCGCAGGGATTGAGGTGCCAGCGCGGCCGCCGCCCAGGGCGTCAGCCGACGCGCAGAGCCGGTCGGAGGCTCGGGCCGCCGGCTCGGCGCCGCGCCGCGGGCAGCGGCCTCGGCTGCGGGACGAGCCGCCGGCGCCGGCCCAGCCGCCGGAGCCGGCTCAGCCGCCGCCAGCCTTGCCTGACGAGCCGAGCGGCGGCGCCCCGGCGCGCCCCACCGCCATCGCCGCCGGCCCGCTGCTGGCGCTGGCCGCCCGGATGCTGCACTGATGCCGCGAGGGCCGGCGCGGCCCAGCGGGGCCCAATGCCCACCGCACGAGCTTAGAGTGCCCGCTTCCGCGCGGAAGGTGGCGGGCACCGGCGCCGGGTCGGCGAGTTTATCGTTTTCCAATGATCGTTCCGACGGCACTCGGCCTCAGCCATTATCGCCGTCGCATCATGCTTTTTTAATGCTAATAAAGCCTTGTTGAACGTGCGCCACCGTCAGATGGCGCTGCACGGTCTGGGATGAAGTCAGGTGCCCGTCTGATGTGCCTGCAGGATCACCGATAACCTCAGGGCCAACGACTTAATAATGCATCCGTATTACGCTACTTTTGAGTCTTCGCCCGGCATCAAACAAGTACCTCGCCGCCACCTGCCACTGCCCCCCTCCCCCCCCCCCGCACACGTGGCAGTGCGCGAGCGTGCGTGCCCGCTATATGATCCGTCGCTAACACGAGTGCCCGCAGCCCCACGCGGGCCGGGCGTGATCGGGCTGAATGCAGAGTGCGCCACGCCACGTTTGCTGTTCGCCGACGGCGCGATTGAGCGTCATCAGCGCCACAATGCGCCGCGCCGCAGGCGCACTGTCGGCTGTAAGTGCCGCCTTCGACACCGGGGACCACTCGAAGCGATTGGCAGTACCGCTTGACACGCCAGACGGGCCGTGCGGCGCCCGCTCTGCGGACAGATGGCGGGGTTTGAACTCTCATGCTCAGCCAGCCAGCTGCTGGCCATGCATGGGCCGCTTCCGAAAGCAGTATGCATGCCCGTGGCTACCGGCAATCGTTAAAACAAATATCAGTGGCATTTGGCGGCCGCCGCATGATTTACCTGTCGCTATCGACTGCTCACCGGGGGCGCGGCTCAACGGCGCATGCAGGCGAGCAGCTGCACGTCCATACGGCGACCCGAGTTTGTCGTCCACCTGTCTCTTCTCGCTACCATTGCGATCCGGCGTCATCTTACCAGATTAGCACAACTGCTCGTCCATGAACGCTTTGCGACACGACGCCAGTCAGCGGCCGCTATTGGACGCGTTAGGCAGCTCGGCGAACGAATTATCGCACTATTACTATTTCATTCATGCGTACCAGCTAACACCGGCTAATCCGATACCAATGGACCTACGGCGCCAGATTGTTTCGAATGAATAAGTCCGGGTCTTGCGTAACACAGCTTCACGCAGCTGGAACATGGCTTCTAATCACGGGACCCAACAACCCCGCGTCAGCAGCTAGAGCCTCACTGCCTGGTTCTTCCCACTAGTCACATCCGGCGGAGGACGCATCAGTTGCAGAATATTTAAATAAACGATGTCGGTCTGCAGCACACCCTCTGTACCCATCCCAAGCCAGCATAGCTTTTGGAAATCAACGGCCACCGTTCATAAGAGTACGCAGCCTTTACGGACATGAGCCATCCTTGATCATGGGGGCAAGTGGGAGCGGACATGTTTGCCGACATCTTTTTTGATGCACATGCAGACGCCAGCCATCTCGTTTGTGGAATATGTGGTAGGTGCTTGAAGTTCCAATAAAAGTCTAGACTTGGATGCCCCAGCAGCCCTCCTCGTCTCCCATAAATATGTGGTCTCCGACGGCAGCCATAATCCCGTCTGCTGTCAGTCGCCTCGCCTCCGCTACCAGAAAGCAAACAGCGCAGCAGGTCGTACTCGGTGTATTGTCCACCGCCGACGCCGTCTACTTGAGAGGGATGAACCGAGAGCTGTGCGTGGCACCGATACCGGGCCGGCCGTGCTTCACCGGCTTGTAGGTGAGCGCGAATTCGCCCAGGTAGTGGCCCATCATCTCCGGCTGCAACAGGGGCGGACACACGTGAGCACGGCGGCCGCGCACTACCGTCCATGGCCAGACACCACAGGTGTCGAAGAAGCCAACATAAACTGATACTGACAGTCGGTCGGCAAAGAAACACCCGACAAAGTGGGGCTCAAACTCACGGTGTTGCTGAAACATCTAATTGCCTGGACACAATAAATGTCTGACACTACGTATTGCCCTCGAAGTGTGCAACTATGCATGGAATCATGTCTTGTAATGGTTACATGGAGTTTGGACTGCTGATTCAGCACTAAAAAACCCTGCAGCAGTCAGTTGTCGGCGTACCTTGATCTCGACTCCGGTGAAACCCTTGCCGTTGTGGACGCCCACAATGCTGCCCGTCATTTCGGGAACGATGATCATGTCGCGCAGGTGCGTCTTAACCGCCTCCGGCTTCTCCATCGCCGGGGCTTCCTGCAAGTGGCACCCCACCAGTCAGCTGCAGCACTGCGTAGTCGCCATACGGTCGCAGACGCCGCCCCGCGGGACACGGACCCAGATTACTGCTGTCTACCACCGACACCAAGACGGCCTGAATGCCACCGCGCCCTCGCCCCGGATAGACGCAATGCCACATTCCACCGGGCGATGCTGCAGACACAGACACCAACACGGCCTGAATGCCACCGCGCCCTCGCCCCGGATAGACGCAATGCCACATTCCACCGGGCGATGCTGCAGACACAGACACCAACACGGCCTGGATGTCGCCGCGCCCTCGCCCCGGATGGACGCAATGCCACATTCCACCGGGCGATGCTGCAGACACAGACACCAACACGGCCTGGATGTCGCCGCGCCCTCGCCCCGGATGGACGCGATGCCACATTCCACCGAGCGATGCTGCAGGCATCACACCAACACGGCCTGGATGTCTCCGCGCCCTCGCACCCGAAGGACGCAATGCCACATTCCACCGGGCGATGCTGCAGGCACAGACACCAACACGGCCTGGATGTCGCCGCGCCCTCGCCCCGGATGGACGCAATACCACACTCCACCGGGCGATGCTGCAGGCACAGACACCAACACGGCCTGGATGTCGCCGCGCCCTCGCCCCGGATGGACGCAATACCACACTCCACCGGGCGATGCTGCAGGCACAGACACCAACACGGTCTGGATGTCGCCGCGCCCTCGCCCCGGATGGACGCAATACCACACCCCACCGGGCGATGCTGCAGGCACAGACACCAACACGGCCTGGATGTCGCCGCGCCCTCGCCCCGGATGGACGCAATACCACACTCCACCGGACGCCGCTGCAGCACGGCCGCCGGCGGGCGCCTGCCTACCTTCTTGGCCTTGCGCAGCCGGCGGAGCAGCGCCATGTGCTTCCTCTTGTGGCCGCGCTCAATGCGACGCCGCTGGCGGGCGTTGAACAGCTGCTTCAGCTGGTCATCGCCCATGTCCAGCAGCTGGTCCAAGTCCACGCCACGGTACGTGAACTTCTTGAAGGTGCGCCGCTTCTTTTGTTCCGGATTCTGCAGGAACAGCAGACAATGGTCAACTGTGCATCCCAATATAGCCATCAGTCACATGGTAAAGGCTCTGGCATGGTTGCCAACTATAGACCTGGCAAGAGATGCTCAATAATGCAATGCCTTCTTATGTATCAGAAGTTGACATGAGATAGCTAGGGAATATATGTGATCTTATGAATGCCCTGTTCCCCACATTTTGATTTCACACCTCCAAACTGCTAGTCCAACATTTGCAACAGACAGCTACATACTTTTGGACTGTATGAAAATACTAGTACACTGTAGCATGTCAGGGAGACAATTCCAAAAATACATGAACAGAGTAGCATATAAAGAAGGATCACAAATTCTAAGACCATACCCATAAACAGCAGCAGAATATCTAAATTTGGCTCATATGCCTTTCCCAGCAGCCAAATTGCCATTCATCACACTTCTGACACCCCTCTTAAAGGCATTGTTTTTCACACACAAAGCTATACCTCCTAGGTGGGATGGATCATTTAAGTCAAAACAGCACATCTTCAGTTACATAAATTGTTCAGAGCATTGGCGAGGAGCATTAGTCACAACATAAGACCATAGCATTAGCCTTATTCCCCAGAAAAAATGGGAGAATGGAGACATATTTAGGTTGATATCTTGGCAACATGCCTTTCTCAAAACAATAGCGGAAGTGAATCTCCTGCTGAAAGTGAAATGAAGTGAAAGGCATGTTGCAAAATTATCAATAAACTATTTCCCCATTCTCCCTGTTCTTCCAAGGAATAAGGCTAATACTACTGTCTTATCTATTAACCCTTCAACTTTAACTGCATCCTGGACAAGTGACAGTATCTTCACCTCTGCTTAACCTCATCACAGAGAAGAAACGCAGCACAGGAAGCAAAACCAGCGACTACCACAGACCAGGGATGGCAAACACAATAGTGCAGCCCACACCGATGTGTTTCTAGCAGAGTGGACAGGTTACCATGTCTGAGCATCTAGCAGGCAAGCTAACAGCATGACTGAGCATGTTTTTGTGCATTTGTAGGACTGTGCACAAGACATTTGTCTGCCAGGAAGACCACCAAGCCACATTATAGTGTTATTCTGGGGTTCTAGTTGGTCACAGCCTTTGTTTAAGGAGGTCCAGAGAGGGACCAGAGTCCCTTGAACCCTAAGACTAAGGGCCTGATTGGAATCAGGCTGAGCTACCACCTGTATTGCCACAACCTGAAATGTTAGAGGGCTTCTATAATGGTCATCTCATTAGTTAATTATCCCTTTTATATAGGGCTGCCACCTGGAGCCAAATGACCACCTCCATGTCCAGGGTGCAATAGCATAGTAGTTAATGTACTATGTAGTGTAATGGTTGATTAACACATCTGTACTAACCACTGCATATTTGGGAAACACAAGGTACAGGGTTTGATTCCTGGCGGTGCCTGCCTTTCCTGCCAGGTTGAGAGGCAGGCTACACCATATGGCCTCAGCAGAACATGCACTGTAAAGCCCCAATGACAGCTCCATGTCTGAGCCCTTGAGACCCAGTTTCACAGCAAGATCAGGCTGGGGACCACAACTTGCAACATCTGGGGTCCCTGACAGAATGAGGGGCTCTGGTACCAATCAGGGGCCACAGTGCCTGACATGGGACATATGGCATCAAGTTAACATACCACAAGTCAGCTCCTTAAACCACAACCTCCTATAAACATCAACCTCTATAACCAGCATCACTAGCAGGCAGCAATTGTTTCATATCCCAGTGAAGCATCAACATCATGCAGCAAATGGTTTCAGCACTTTTGAAAACACAGCAATCACTTGGCATCCATGAAACATTGTCATCATGTTGCAGGAATTATTCTGTATCCCACAAATGTCACCAAAATAATCAAATAAAGGACAAATAACCAATGCTTTGGCTCTGATGCCACCCACACACACACATACACCCACCCACCCATGTGCATGCACAAACACACACACACACACACACATATATATATATATATATATATATATATATATATATATATAAACCACACATTCTTGAGATGTGTGACAGTATTTCAGTATTTAGCCACTTGGGTAGCATGGATATCTCAATAACACCCTGGCTTTGAGCTCACTGCCTGTAGCCCTTATCCTTGCCCAAAATCAGCCAATCAGCATTGAACCAAGCAGCTGTCAAACCAGTGTCTATGCACCTCAGGCTTGACAAGCAGGCCAAGTAGGTCAGATGTTTAAGTCAGGGCCCAAGGGCAATAGATTAATACCAAAGAATGGGGTGCCAGAGCCACCAAAGAGCCAGGATTCTGGTAGCATGAATTTATATTTACATCCAGCACACCCTACTGGATGAACTTTGGAATGCTGATGTGCAACACCTTTACCAACAACACTATGGGTGTAAACACATGACTTCAGGACTGGCTCCAAAACACATCGCTGACAGGACTGACACTCTTTCCAATACATATTGTGTACACTTTGATTTAAGATGTGAACAGCATGATTTCCCAAAAACAATTTCCCTTTAACAACTTATCATCTAATTTACAAGAGAATTGCATGATTCGGCAGACACATTAGATACTTGAAAAGTACATACATTCTTAACACACTAAAGAATGCCCAACGAACTCTGGTCTCCAGGACAACCCATGTCCAAGAATGTGGCCACCCCCTCTCATAGGCCCATCACCTGTGCATCAAATAGTCACTCTGTCTGTACATTCCTCAATCCTTCAATATCGACACACTTAAACCAAACCTTTTATGTGTCGCACAGTCTCTGAATATTACATCTGTAAAATACGGATTCATCCCTGCTGCCAAACATTAGTCTCAGCCTCACCACAAAAGCCACAACGCAATTTCCGCCAATTTCTCACCCAGCATCGCACCCCACGCAAAAGCGAGCACGTCGTAAAAATAGCGAAGCACAATAGAGCCCATGCTCAGCGTTAAGGATGATACAGACAACCTATACAGGCACAATTACTCTGTAATACGAAACCCCTCACCTCCGACATGTTTGCGTTTGGAAAGAGGATGCGCAGAGGCCCGACTGCGCCGGCGCCGCCTGTTTCTACATATATTATGACGAATAAATCAGTCAAGAGCAATATGTACCTAAATACAATCCCTTAAGAACGCTGAAATATTTATTATGGGTTAGGTCTTACCAATTTTTCAGCAAACAGACACGTGAAAAGCGCATACAAATTTGCAACTAAGCCTCCAATCCTATGAACACTATAACAAGATGGTTTTAGCCCATATTAATGCAATCCTTGCCGTTTTGAAATATTTTACCCATATGCTACAGGTTTTTTCTTTGATTTTGACTGGGGAGGAGAAGCATCGAAATGAGTTTTTGAAGTTCTGGTGATGAATGTTCTTTCCACACCGCATTTGCGACAATGTTTTGACGCAAACACGTATGCGTGTTGAAAATGCGCGGATGTGATGGAAGAACAATAAGTGTAAGACTTTGAATCGTCATTTATTGAGGACTTTTCCTTGCTTCTTGAAAATTGCATACCATTTTAAGCTGCTGATGCAGTCTAATTTTGCGCTGGTTCTAGTCATTCTAAAAGTTACATTTGTGTCACTGTCCGGCGGTTCAGGTGAGTTCTGCGCCCATTTGTTCCAGAAGGCGTAGGGATTGGCCTGAATTGATATGATGAAATAGCATAATTCATGTCATATGTCAGGGGTTTGGCTGTTTCCTGGAAAATTAAAGTAGTTGAGATCTGACATTGATACAGACTCCCTGGCTGGTGAAATTACTGGTAACTGCTCAATAACTTGACTGTTTTGCCCAATTTGCTGAGTGTGCTGTTCTTTTGACAACTCGTGTTGGAAACTAGCAGGTTCTGGCAAGGTCTTGCAAAAAAATTCAGTCAAAGACTACTGTCAAGGAAACCTCGTAGCTGTAGTGCTAGATTGCAACAATGGATGTTTTCCTAACCTTTCTGGCCAAGTGACATTCCAGCGATAGATGCCACACATGCATGCCATAAATTCCAGAGGCCTGTGTTGGTGCATGGTCACCACCAATTGTAGTGCTCAGTGAGCCTAGATTCCAAGCACTTGTAAAAGTTGGTAGGAAAACTTCAGGCATTGATTCCTCTAAACATGTTATTAAGCAACAACTATCTGAGCATTCATGCTGGTGTCATGTAAAAATACATGATTAAGGAGGGTTTTTCTTCAAACTGACTATGGGTTGGCTGACTGTGCAGGCTTATGCAATGTAAAGAATGTCTAGAAAAAATAGATCAGCAGTACAAAAGCAATGCTGTTATGTGCAGTGTGTTCTTGAACCTGTTCTGTCATTAACTAAGGTATAGATCAGTTTATGCAGAATGACACAATATTTATAGCTTTTTTAATGTAGACTATAAATGTCACCAAATGCCTTGCACACCATTGAGGTGTCATTATGCTCCTGTTAATTATTTATGTGGCCTTTTTAGCACTGAAATAGTTTTAGGAACAAGTATGTAGTGTATTCTTTATGTGGTTTACTGGGGCTACATAGGTAATGCATGTTTTGTCATATTTTGATCTTTTCACTCTAATGTTTTGCAAAAATGAAATGTTCCCTGTTCCAATTATTAGCTGCTTGAATGAGACTGGCTGGGTGGTTGGCATCAACATTGGCCATAACTGATCTTGTTTGAGAGGTGTAGGTTTGTGCCATATCTAGAGTTTTCTTTTCTTTTTCTTGCAAGGTTCCCATATATGTTGTCAGTGTCAACTGGCCTGTTAAATGTTTTGGGAAATATTTGAGGTGCCAGCTTAATTCCATGCACTTTTTAAGGTAAGATGTCAGATATTACTGGTATGTGTGCTCTGCCAAGAACTCACAGACCACCAAAAAACCTGCAGAAAACTGTTAAACTCACAGACACTTGTTCTCTGTTGTGTTTTTTGTGGAACTGGTGGAGGCACCACCACCCAGGTGCAGTTTTTGGATCGGGTTACTTTACTTTAGCTTCAGTTCTTGTGCAATGGCTTGTAAGCACTATTAGAGCTTATCAGATTTGATGCCACCTTATGCTTACAAGCATGTGATTCTCCTTCATAATAATTGGCAGTGATTAAGATTGGGATCATCACTTCATATAGTTATGCAGTACTTGGCAATGACAACTTTTGTGGTGAGGAAGAGGTGTCAATGACACTGGTATGGCAAGTAAGTTAATTGTCCAGTGCAGAGGCAGGCAGAAATATTGATCCACACAAGATTTGCCTTATGCAAGATGGAACAGCATTGTATAGTGTTGATGCTAAGATATGTTGCCAAAGTGGACTAGATATCTGCTGTTGTCCAAAGTGTTCCACATTGTCCCATTCAATCATGTACAATCCCCATGCTATGCAAAGCTGTAGCAGACAGCATGACCATGCAACAGTGCCCACAACATTTCCATGTGGTGCATGGAGATGCCACAAGATAGTGTTCTCAATGTTTGAGTATTGATACAAATGGCAAGTGCTTATGTGTATATTTTTGCCTTTTCTGTATTGCCCCATCTTTGCTTGCCTCATTCCCATGTCTATTGGCACAGTTGTTTGCAGGTTTCTTTCACAAGATAAGATGTAAGATATGTATCACATCAAGGGTATCATTCCTTTTGCACCAAAGAGGAAGCTGCTAACATTATTTTGTTGTGGGTGCCCCCGCTTGCCTCGACCCTTTCAGCACATAATCTCAAATGCTGGGTGCCTCCAGCCTGGCTGACTCTCCATGTTTATGAGTAGGGTGTGCTCTGCTAGGCCTGGGGCTTGTTCGCAATTTATTGACTCAGCTCATCCCTTCTCAGGGACAGAATCAGGTGGTGGGAGCGAAAACGTTGTCATCTGCCGGCACTGTGGACACGACCTCTTCGACCCGCAGTACATTTTCACCCTTGCAAGTCCTGGATCAATCTGGACCAAAAACAACACACTGATTGGTGAGATTGGGACTATTGGGACTATGCTGTCATGTATTACCAACAAATACTTCTGCGCCTGGGCATACTCACATAATGTTTCATGACTTGCTCAGTGTTTTGTTAAATGGAGCTCCATATTGGGCACATCATTACCACTCAGGTAGGTGACCAGGTGCTAATCAGGTCTGCTTTTCGCAGTGTCCGATAATTTCATACATGTGTTAATCATTGCATCCTCCACATCCTCACCACATGGCAGTTGAAGCCAATGTTTATAGTTAAGGTGTGTTCAAGCCAACTTGCATGGGATATAAGCACCCATTGTTTTTTACTCGGCTGCTTCACACCCGTCAGGTGCAAATTTACATGCCCCATTTCTGTGAGGCCGAGCCCGGGCCGTCTCACTGGCCGCCGTTCCCCCGGCAGGCTCGGTGCGCCCGCACGTGCAGCTGCTCCGGAACCCGCACGGCTACGAGTTCTAGGTGGTGACGGTGCGACGGAGCGTCTCACTAGCCGCCTCTCCCCCGGCAGGCTCGGTGCGCCCGCACGTGCAGCTGCTCCGGAACCCGCACGGCTACGGGTTCTAGGTGGTGACGGTGCGACGGAGCGTCTCACTAGCCGCCTCTCCCCCGGCAGGCTCGGTGCGCCCGCACGTGCAGCTGCTCCGGAACCCGCACGGCTACGAGTTCTAGGTGGTGACGGTGCGACGGAGCGTCTCACTGGCCGCCTCTCCCCCGGCAGGCTCGGTGCGCCCGCACGTGCAGCTGCTCCGGAACCCGCACGGCTACGAGTTCTAGGTGGTGACGGTGCGACGGAGCGTCTCACTGGCCGCCTCTCCCCCGGCAGGCTCGGTGCGCCCGCACGTGCAGCTGCTCCGGAACCCGCACGGCTACGGGTTCTAGGTGGTGACGGTGCGACGGAGCGTCTCACTGGCCGCCTCTCCCCCGGCAGGCTCGGTGCGCCCGCACGTGCAGCTGCTCCGGAACCCGCACGGCTACGAGTTCGAGGTGGTGACGGTGCGCCGGAGCGTCTGCTCGCAGCAGGGCGACGTAAGGCTGACGCACTCGCGCCGCGGCCGGCGCCCCCATGCGCGGTCTCCCTGCAGCCGGTCTGGCGTCCATACACGTCTGTCAGCTGTGTTCGAGCTCGTTGCTGGCCAGCTGGGTGGACACTTCGCTGACTGGTGACGCTCGACGCTCGTATGGATCGCATGGTTCTCGGCTATCGAGAGGTGTAGTGAAATGCAAACCAAATCGTTGAGTCGTTGTGACGACTGATTTTGTGCATGCCTCTTGGTGTGGATGCCGGTGATTATGCATTTTGTGGTGATGTTCCAGTGGCATTCGTCGCATTCGTGGTTCCCTGGATACAACTGGAAGATTTGCGTGTGTCCTAAATGCGGTACACACATTGGATGGTGGGTGCATGTCGACTCGTGCTCACTCGTCTGTTTGCATAAGCAGCGCTTTGCCTTGCTCCCCGAGCGTACCTTCACCTTTTTTATCACGCGTTACTTACATGTTTTTCCCTCACAATTTATCTCTATATTACGGTCCAAGCTCTGCAATCAGAATCACTAAAATAGCGCAACCCGAAGTCGTGATTGCGCTACATTGATTGCTGCAGTGCTCTCCTGGGTGATTACCGTTGAAAACATTGTGTCGTTTTCTCGGCTGGCACAGCGGAAGGCGTTTACATCTGTTTCAAAGAGTTGTGTCAGCTTTCAGACACGCATGCGAGTTGAAGTACTGATGCGTTCTGTTCTGTCAGGATTTTTAAGAAAATTCAGTCTGCGAGCAAAACGGACTCCGAAGATTCGTTTTTCGGGCTCATACTAGACAAGATATTGGAGGAATCAAGTGAGTACGTTGTGTGTGTGTGTGTGTGTGTGTGTGTGTGTGTGTGTGTGTGTGTGTGTGTGTGTGTGTGTGTGTGTGTGTGTGTGTGTGTGTGTGTGTGTGTGTGTGTGTGTGTGTGTGTGTGTGTGTGTGTGTGTGTGTGTGTGTGTGTGTGTGTGTGTGTGTGTGTGTGGTGTGTGTGTGTGTGTGTGTGTGTGTGTGGTGTGTGTGTGTGTGTGTGTGTGTGTGTGGTGTGTGTGTGTGTGTGTGTGTGTGTGTGTGTGTGTGTGTGTGTGTGTGTGTGTGTGTGTGTGTGTGTGGTGTGTGTGTGTGTGTGTGTGTGTGTGTGTGTGTGTGTGTGTGTGTGTGTGTGTGTGTGTGTGTGTGTGTGTGTGTGTGTGTGTGTGTGTGTGTGTGTGTGTGTGTGTGTGTGTGTGTGTGTGTGTGTGTGTGTGTGTGTGTGTGTGTGTGTGTGTGTGTGTGTGTGTGTGTGTGTGTGTGTGTGTGTGTGTGTGTGTGTGTGTGTGTGTGTGTGTGTGTGTGTGTGTGTGTGTGTGTGTGTGTGTGTGTGTGTGTGTGTGTGTGTGTGTGTGTGTGTGTGTGTGTGTGTGTGTGTGTGTGTGTGTGTGTGTGTGTGTGTGTGTGTGTGTGTGTGTGTGTGTGTGTGTGTGTGTGTGTGTGTGTGTGTGTGTGTGCGTGCGTGCGTGTGTGTATTGTGTGTGTGTGTGTGTCTGTGCGTGTGCGTGTGTGTGTGCGTGTGTGTGTGCCCCACGTAGCATAGGGCCGCTGCCAGGCAAGCTAGCGCAATACGTGCCGACGTGAAAAAAATCAGTGGGTGTATTTGCGAACAATGTTGTCTCTCATCTTGTATTAAAGGCAAGAAAGGACGCTTACAAGACGCCAGCATGTTTCGCTCCTGGCTGGTCCGCTGGCTGCCATAAGTCGGCCACTGTTGGACTGACCGGTTCCGCCTCCGGTAGCGGTCAGCCAGCTACTGCTGACGCCCAAGTCGTACCGCGTGTAGCGCCATGTCGGCCGAGCCTGCTGCGCCGGCCGCTGCGCCGGAGTCGGCCGAGCTGGTGCTCTCGGAGGCGCAGCAGGCCTTCCTGGACGAGTGCGAGGCCGAGTTCGGCTGGCGGTTCTCGGAGGCGGACGGCGAGTTCAGGCGCCAGCGAGACACCGGCACGCCCGAGCCGCCCGTCATGGTGCCCTGGTTCAGCCGGCGGCCGTTCGGCGCCGGGCGGCCGTGGCAGGAGCGGGGCGCGCGCCGCGGCCGCTTTGAGTCGCCGTACGATCGCGACCGGACGGCCGGCGGTGACCGAGACCGCAGCCAGGACGCGTACCGCGACGACAGGTGCAGGGGACGCGAGCCCTACCGGGACGATGGCTACAGGGGACGGGGGCCGCACCGGGACGACAGGCACGGCCGGTGGGATCACCGCGGTGGGGACAGGGCCGGTGGCAGCGGACACTGCCGGGACGAGAGGCGACAGCATGGTTCCGGATGGTAGCCCCCGCGACTACCGCCTGGGGCTCGGCGACTGGGACATTTCGTGCCGGGCTGTGTTCAGCGTGTGTTTTTCGCGGGGAGGGGTTGTATTGCGGGGTTTCCTGGCGTGAAATGTGTGTTCACTGTATTTGCAGACAATAAATGGTCACTCACGGGCATGTGAAATTGTGCTTCGTAAAGCAGGGCCACCGTACTGATGCAAAAGCATGGACCTCGGCATGAACGCCTTGAGCATTGAGACAGCCACTCCGCAGTGGAAGCCCCGGCCGCCGGTGAGACGTGAAGCTCCATCATTGTTATCCGCGATTGAAGATGTCGATCAGCCACAATATGCACACTTCGGTGTGTGTCCAGCGCTCCGGAACCGGACAGACCTCTTACGCACCTGGCCTAGCCCTGATACTCAAAGTCGCCGCGCACCCCGAACGGAATGCCAAGCACCTGTCGGTTGCGCCAGACCCAGGCCAGCACGCGCATCGCCGTCTTGAAGGCGTAGCGGACGCGGCGCTCGGCATGCTTGTGATGCCGCCGGGGCAGCCGGCGCGCCACGTACACATCCAAACGGCGGCAGAAGGCGGCGATGCGGGGCCCGGCCACCGTCGCCGGCGCCGTCAGCGCCACGAACGTCTCGCTGTACGGCGGCCCGCCGACGGATGCGCGCGGCGCGACGGTGGCGCCGCTTCCGGCCGCGGGTAGCAACAGGCAGACGCCGGCCCCGCGCGCGACGCGGCCACGGATGCACACCCAGCCCTGCGGCAGGCGGCGGTTGGTGACAGGGGTCACGCGCCCGACTCCGACGGCTCTTAGTTGTCTCGAACTGGTGGAGAGTCTTCGAAGCCCGCACGCTTTACAAGTCGGGTAGATGTCATGTTTGCGTTTCTCATTGTCGCTAGTGAGCGGTAGGCTAGACCGGATAATTAATTGACCGCGCATTTTCATGGCGTCACATTGGTGCCGCGGCAAAAACTGCTCCGATGGAAACACCACATCACTTCTAGGTGGCATTACTTCTACTGCAAAAACTTTTACAGGCCCAAATTAACGCGACATTACTTGTAAAGACTTACACACGACATCAGTGCCACGCAGCAACATTTATGCTTTGAAAGCTCACACATTATTACATGTGCTGCGAAAACTTGTGAAGTCTTTACTCATACGCGACATTACTTCGACTAAAAAAAACTCATAAACGGCATCAATATTACAAAACAAAATTTATAACGCAAAAACCACATCAATCCTTTCTTCTACACGTAGCACTAATGTTACGCGTAACTCCGCAGTAAAAGTAATGTCGCGTATAAACAGTGGCTGTTAAAGGCTTTACAGCACAGGTAATGATGGGTACAAGTTTTGGGCTTTGAAACGTTGCACTAATGTCGCGTTTAAGTATTCGCAGTACAAGTAAAGTCGGGTATAAGTAATGACGAGTGTAAGGTTTTGCAGCATAAGTTTCATCGTGTAGCACTGACATCGCGTATAAGTTTTTGCGGCAGAAGTGATCTTGTATATGATTAATGGTCATAAGTGTTTGCGGTAGAAATAAGGATGAGCACAAGTTTTTGCAGCTGAAGTTTTGTCGCCAATCATAAACGTGTACAAGCATTGGCAGTACAAGTGGTGTCGTATCACTCCTGTCGGTAGGACTCTTTGTTGCAGCACTGATGTCGCGAGACCCATTTTCATGTCCGGCAGCTCCAACACTGCCCCGAAAATAACACAACCACTAGCGTGGTTGCCTTCCTTAAACCGACTTACATGCTCCGCATCTTCGAATATTTCCGATAACGTACTCATGTGAACTCGGACGTTCCCGTGTTCTTCATAATGAAGTTGCTTGATCCAGACCTTGTGGTTGGTGGCACCAATCACTGCGTTTGTCTGCAACACAGAGGTCATATTGCTCTTGCAGGTGTCGACTGAAATACGAATTGTGGCTATTTTGGTGGTGGCTGTGGTTCTGTAGTACTTTACAGGCCCACATTTACATTTCGCCACAGCATCCGGCGAATTCGGGCGTGCGTTTTTATATCTTACAGATTTGTAGTCCGATCTGAAGGCTGATGAGTCTGCCCGAGAGATCTGAGAGAGCAACCATACGGCCAATGCAATGCCGTCATCGAAATACTTACCACTAAGCCTTAAAGATGACTACAGATAATCAAACACAAGGTACGAGATACGAACCTGAATAACGTGGAAGAAGTGGTAAGAGATCCTTGCGATTGAGCGATCACCTGGGCTTCCCGTCGTCTGCGCTTGGACGTTCGACCTAAGCACAAAGACCCTTGCGAGGCAGTGCACGCCCACGAGTCTCCTGCGCGAGTGCGAGTCTCAGACTTCCTCAGACTCAGACTTCAGAGTCAGACCTCCTAGCTCGCGGCGGGGCGGCGGCAGTGGGCCTACTTACGTAGTGTTGCGACGCTCTGGTATAGTTGTGGTCGGGGATGGCGACGGGCACCGCGGCGGGGCGGCGGCAGTGGGCCCACTTACGTAGTGTTGCGACGCTCTGGTATAGTTGTGGTCGGGGATGGCGACGGGCACCGCGGCGGGGCGGCGGCAGTGGGCCCACTTACGTAGTGTTGCGACGCTCTGGTATAGTTGTGGTCGGGGATGGCGACGGGCACCGCGGCGGGGGCGGCCGGCTGCGCCGTCTCGTACGTGACGTTCACGCCCAGCGGCCGGCGGTGCGATTGGACCCGAGCAGACTCTGACGGCGCCACAGGCCAGCCGAGAACCAGCAACGAAACCTGCGTTGTGCACCAGTCGGGTCAAACTAGCAGTGGAGTGGTCAACAAAGTTCAGCGTCCCCACGAGACATGCGGGCAGCTGCCGGCGCGTTAAACCGTGCGCAAGGGCCCGTTTAACCGTGCACGGGGGCCCGTCTAACCGAGCACAAAGAAAACGCTAATACTGATATGAAATACGTGCATGTAGTTGCAGCTGGAAGGCGTAGTCGGTGCTTTGTGGCAGACTTGAGATGCAGCTTGCTGTCCATTTTTGAGTACCCTTTGACGGGCATTAGGAAGCACGGGGCGCGTCACGCGTTGATCGACGTCACCACAGTACCTCCACACCTCCCGTTTGACATACCGCCAATACCCGACGTCACTGTACCTTACCGGGATAGCGGTGCTGCCCCACATGCCGCGGGTATGGCCGCGCCGTGCCGACTGAACACCAGCTGTCCCCCGGAGCGTACACTGGCCGGTGGACGCGTGACCGGTGAAGGGAGGCGTGGCCTATCGCCCCCGTCGTACTCATCGCGCCGCCTCCTATCGCGCACGGCGAGGTAAATTTATGCGTCGTATTCATGTGAAGTGCTGAGCGCAGCGAACTCAGTCGAAAGAAGCGCCTTGTTTTAAACGCTCAGTGGCGAAGATGAGAAAATGTATTGCAACCCGTCGGCACTGACTCGATACCACACGAGTGATGATTCGAAAACGCACAAATCCGTCCGTTTCCACAATACCTGACTTTGAACATGTAAGAACAACCACTGTTGAGCCGCCATAGCCTCTCGCCGGCAACGCAGCTAACTTACCATACGTGACAAGTTCGCAGTGCACAACCGAAGACAAAATAATACCGCGCCTCTGGGTTACGCCATCACGCCAACAGCACCACACATCAGCAGCAGCACGAGCGGCGACCGTCTCTCGCATGCCACCCACGCAGCAGACGGACCCTGGCCATGCCTCCCCGCGCAGCGCTAGGTGCAGCCTGACGTTGGCGTCGTCACCTTCCTCCTGGCCCAGTCGCGCAAGCGGCGCACCTGCCGTGCGCGCACGTACATTTGGTCTGTCTTGAGCACGCTGCGCAGCTCTCCCAGCTGGGCGGCGTGGTCCGGCGGGCTGGCGGCCGACAGCGAGAGGTCGAGGCGCGCCGCCAGGTGACGCACGTCTAAACCGCGGGCCGGCGTCCGAGGCGGTGGGATGGTGATCATCGGCTGAGGCGGGGCGCTGGCCGGCCCGCAGGGCGCCGCCGGACCGGAGGGTGCCGCCGGGCCGGAAGGCGCCGCCGGACTGGAGGGCGCCGCCGGGCCGGAGGGCGCCGCCGGACCGGAGCGCGCCGCCAAACGAGCGGCGGCTTTCCTCCGAGCGGCGGCCTCGGCTGGAGGCGCCACACATATGCACAGGTTAGCTGGCGCGGCACTGGGACGAGTCGCCGCACCGTTACACCGACGCCGCTACTGTTCAAGCCCAGTCTAACAAACCATGGCAGCGACAGGAACTATACTCACGAATGGGAGAGCCTAACGAGAATGAGAAGTCGCCCGGTCCTACCGTCTCTTTATTACAAATCACGGGGACCACGCCGCATAATTCTCATAACTGATGTGCAGTGGCTGCTTACCAATGCAACGCGCGCGTTAAAGAAGTTGCATCATTTGCATCTAATGAACGGAATTTACGTCTGCACACTTCAAACTGCACTCCGGTACACGCCAGTTATGTCACACGACACACAGAGAACACCCCCCCCCCCCCCCCCCCCCCGCTGAGCCACCTCACATCCCGCATCATCTTCCGGAAACAGCCCACCCCTGCCCATTCCCAGTGACAGTGATCAGGCCAAAGGTGGCCGGCAGCCAGGCGGGCCAATTTGGCCGTCAGCCGCCTCTCACGTCCGGCACCGCTGTCGTGTTTGACTCATCGTTCGCCTCGGCCGCAAAGCGTAGTATCTGTTCTTTTCTGGCTGTTGGCATCTGATGAGTACAAACCGTGCAGCAGGCGTCCGCGATTCCGTGAGAGACCATCGAGTCTCGAATACGTGGAGGATCCCGTCTCGTAATGCTATAAGGCAGGCCAGATAGCAGCTTATGTGACAAACAGCACCACTGCCGTCACGCCAGCTGGCTACGAACAATGCAAAGTCCTTAGCATTGCGTGCGATAAAACCCAATAAAGCCCAGTCGTTAAGACCGGTAGGCTCCCAAATAGTCTCCACCGCATGGGCGACACGGCACCGCTCACAACCGATCTGAATTTCTCTGGCCTCGGAGCAGACGCCCGTCCGGGCGGCCCGGGCGCCGCAGCAGACGCCAGCCCGGGCGCCCCAGCGGACGCCGGTCCGGGCGCCGCAGCAGACACCCGTCCGGGCGCCGCAGTGGCTGCCAGTCCGGGAGCCGCAGCAGACGCCGGCCCGGGCG